ATATGATAAAATTATCAAACAGAGAATCACAGATCAAAGTGGAATAAAAGTAAAGTGGACAAGTGGCAGATTTTATCACATTATTATTGCAATACGTGTAATATTCGTTGAATAAAAATAAACAATGATACAAAATATTATTTTAACTGTCATTATTTTTCGGATTCATAGAACATAGATAATACAATTATTTTTTTAAATGTATAGTTTGGTGTTTCGATTTAAATCGAAAGAATGTGCCAGTAGTTATAGGTCAGGTTAAGTTAATATATTAAATTCAACGTTACGTATCCGTTAATGGTGAATGTAATTGTATAATACTTGTGTTCAAATCACAAATCGAAACTGTATAGATGGGTTATGGGTATATGTAATGCTAATGTAATTTGAATCGCATTTTGATTTTGTTCTTTTGCAATTATCTGCGATACGAATATAAAGTCATGAACGTTTGCTTGTTCTCTGAGGCAGTAGGCTTTAGAAAATAGATTTTACGTGACAAGAAAACGGATTAGTAACAAATTTTGAGAGTATTAATAAAACTGTGTAAGCATTCAATCTTTTTGTATGAAAATTTCACTCAACGCGATTTCATTTGATTATATTTAAGCAAACGTTTTAAAATGATATAATAATATTTAATGACTATCTCATCAATTGCTATTTTGTCAACATTGTCGGCACAAATGTTTGAGGAAAAAATGATATTTATTTATTTTTTAATATATAGATAAATAAATAAACATAGATAGTTAATGTTACCCATTTCTAAGATTATTCTGTACTTGAACATAATTTTCAATGTCACCCTTTCATTACATCACGTTATTGCATAAGATCAAAAATGATAAAATACTTCATTGTAACTACCTTGATAATATTATTTTTTCTGCAGCCTATCGATTGTTACTTACTGTCGTCAATACGTTGTAACCTATACTTACAGTTTATTTCGGAAAACCCTATTAAAACACAAACACGATCATTACAGTATAGTTGTATGTTTTATGGTCGATACACATCGGTCTTGGTCAAGTGACGATAGCCGATTTTTGTACATTGAACTGTATTTTCAGTGGAAATTCATAGAGCACAGTATTAAAGCCGTGATCGGATTACTCATACGCTACGCCTAATTATGTACTTACTTAATAGTTAAACCATTTTGAAGTTATCGAAGCACGTTGCAACAATTCACTGCCGAGCGTGAATTGTGTCATACAATGGATATGGTATTTAGAGCAGACAAAGAAGAGATATCGCGTTACCTACCTACTGTGTTCGTTTACGCCGATAATATTATAGTTCTGTTAAATCATCAAATCTCTTCGTTGTTTCCGCAACGAACCCCGAATAGAAGGAATAGTCGCGTGGTTTACAGCACATTCTAACAATGCGGAAATCATGCAAGTTACTGTATATTATATAATAATAATAACGCCAGTCGGTATTAATAATTTTATTAAATATTCCTCAAACGCCGATTACTTAGACGTCGGTTTACAACTTTGATGATGTTAGCCAAAAGTTAAACATGTTTTATTTGAACTATATAAGTATTTCACTACATCTCATACCGGGCACTAGATAGTAAAAGCTTGCACTGACTATAATAATATGAAATATGAAAATAAAATAAATGAAAACGTACGATTTTTACCGATTAAAATAATATTCGATAAAAACATTATAATAGTTTCTGAATAATATTTAAGCATATTTTACTTATAAACATATTCGTGTAAAACAAACCAATAAATGTTATCTCAAAAATCAAATTTTACAAGAAATAAAATTAAGACTTCAAACTGTTTTATCATCTTCATTCAAAACGAATCATTTTTAATGATTACCGAAATAAAAACTAACAAAGTTGTAAGTTAAGCCTTGTAATTATTAGGGTTTGTTCTAAGCCAAACTTAACGTTGAAAGAAAAAAAAATTTTTCAACCATTTTTGTTAATTACTAAAAAGTTCTAAAAACCTTTTAGCTGTATCAATATTTCTTTAATAATTTAATATTTATTTCTGGAGTAGTATTATCTGAATTAAATGTATAAAATATTTTTTTCTGAAAATAAGACTTCGGCTTAACAGAAAAGGATGAGAAGTGAGGTTGAAACCAACATTATAATAATATTATGGTACATTAGTACTGTTGTTTATAGATTTTTTTTTATTTTGGCGATAAATGTGTATTATTTAGATGGAGTTGTACTAAAATGTTGTACTATCACATTTTTGAATGGTTGATAGAACGATTTTGAAATTATTGTACTTTTTGTATATCGTCACTTTATTATATCATGTTAATATGACATGAGTTTTCAATACTTTAGCTAAAATTTAAAATTTGAAAAGATCTATTTATTTCACTAGTAAGTAAAAAAATTTTAAATACTAAATATTGTGTCTGTTTTGAATTTTTTAGTTCTCGATAAAACTTTTTAAAAGATGTTCCTATATTATTGTCTCCTAATCCCCAATTATAATGCATTTATATCTCGACATAGTATGCAGTTTAAAATCAGGATTTAAAAAAATCCAGTTGGCATCTTTTGGTGCATCCCACCTGGCCTCATTTTATACCTAGAGAAATATCAACATGCTATTCATGTGATAATGTGGGAGACAAAACGTATGCAAATTGTATTGAATTATTATATCATCTACCATCGTTGTATCTTAATACATAGTTTAATCCCATACGTAAAACGTATTATATTATAAAAACAACCAAAATGGTCGTAACCGGTGTGGTTAGTCAATACGATTATACTAAAACCGTATTTCACGGTGTTTTGTATTTGCTATTGCCTATTAATAAATTCACATTAAAATAATTTACTATTTTATTAATGTAATAAACAATAAATTATTACCTACATAATATAGATGTCACTCCTAATATTTTATTAATAGTTGTTTTTTTTTTTTTATGAGAAACTTGAAAAGTATAAGTTATGAAAAAAGCTATTGAAAAAATCAATATTTTAATAATATGTACAAACACTTGACTTACTTGAAACAGTAAGGTTGTTAATGTGATGTAAATTGTGTCCTCAATTTTGTAATAATAACATCTAAATACTCATTACAAAAACAATCGATACTGAAACATAACAAGATAACAACATCAGATTCCTGGTTATATCCGATCTTGTTTGCTATAATAGCATAATATTCTGAACACGGCGTATCGTATAGGCAAACAAGAAACTCAATATTCAATATATTATAATCAAATTGTTTTTCCATGGTAAACAATCACATAAACCCACTTCACACTGAGCTACATAATATTATTACTAAACAAATTTTATCGGATGTAATACTAAACGAGGCATTTAATATTATGAAATAAATTTAATTTCAAGTTATTATAATACTATAATATAGGTAAATGGTAATATCATTTTTATAGAATTGTTTGAAACTTTGTTATACACATCTTTCATTTTGTATATTTTATTTGTAATTAATTAGGACGGACCGAAGTTTCAAGATAGTCGAAATCTAATAGTATTATGCATGTTGTTAATACTCATTGATTTTGAGTTGTATTGGTGCAGTCGCAGACTCGCAGTGACTTGTATAAAAATGTAATTATTATCGAGTGAATACGATCTAAACGAGCTGTCAGCTTTTATAACTTGAGTTTGCGAGTTCCCATATCGTTCCCGTTCAAGTAAGTTTAAATGTTTTTTTTCTCAAAATCCGTCGATTTCGACCTAAAAGGATATAAAAAGCTACAGCCTACTTAGAATAATCCACTTTAAATTGTATATATGCGGGTATACATTGTTTTTACTAAGCATAATATTATTTTTAATTAGTTGTTTGTTTTCTTTTCAAATATCGTGGTTGAAGTAGTCGCACTCGTGAATCATGACGTAAGGACTAAGAATTCGTATTTTAGATTGTATTTGATTGTCTTTCTCTTTAGATTAGGTTAGGATAGGTTGAATAAAAATTTAATATCAAAAACCGTGAAAAAAAAAACGTTTGATATTGTAGGAAAAACAACATGAAAATATTTTTTTTCATTGATATTTCTTATTGTGGTATCAAATATCATGTCAAAATGCTTGAGTCCATATTACTTTCATAAGAAAATAAACCAATAATTCGGCCTTACTAACTTATTGTTTGACATGACAAGTAGGTTTCTAGCTATGATCAATTTATAGCACAATATTATTACACCATCTTACGATTGATGCTATATTGTTGAAATATAGATAGAGATGTTATGCCATAAAAATGCAAATCAAGAATAATACTTAATAGTTAATTTCAAAGGGATTGATAATCATACATTTATATTTGTTGTTAATATTATATTATTTGTTTATAAATTTAAAAAAAAAAAATATTAAAAAAAAGTTATAATCGTGTGTTAATCTTTGACCCCCCTTGTTCCTTTATCGCCGGATACAACCAGTTTTATATCTTCTAATTAAATACCCAAACATTTAGAATGAGAAAAAATTATATTTGAGAACAAAATCAGAAAATTAGAAACACAGAATTTATTTCGTGAACAGGATGTGATAATTTAAAAATCAATCAAAAACAAATTCGCAATGTGATTATTAATAAAATAAATTTAACATTTTAAATTAAGATAATACTTGATTGATAATAAAGTAAGGAGAATTTCACAAAAAAAACACAAAAACAAATATTTGGCATGTAATCCAAGGCGTATTACCTCCTCGTTCTGCACCATGAGGAAATTTATATTAATCCAAACTGAGTCCGTTGGCTGCATCAAGACAATATTTGATTTAGGGCCAAGACCGTAGCTAGAAATATATTTAAGGGGGAAGGGGTTGAGTATAAATATGAAAATCAAGGCCTTAGCCACAAATTTCCGGGGGGGGGGGGTGTTTGACCCCCCGACACACAAGAACCTCCCGCTTATCCACTAACCGACAGACAGGCTAAAGAATATCAATCGTATAATATAATGTCTTGACCGGCGGCTGTGTGTTTCAGGTGAGGAGGGCCAACAGAGAGCGACAGCGGCTGTCACGGCTGCAGAAGAAAGAGATCGGGCTGGCCACCATGCTGCTGTGCGTGGTGGTCGTGTTCCTGCTGTGCAACGTGTGGGCTCTCATATCGAACGTGGTGGAGGCGTTCTACGGCATCACCGTCGACCAGCTGGTCAAAGTCAGCAATCTGCTGGTGACGATCAACTCGTCCGTCAACTTCGTCATCTACGTGATATTCGGCGAGAAGTTCAAGCGGCTGTTCTTCAAGCTGTTCTTCCCGAGAGGCGTGTGGATGTGTGGCTGGCACTTCGCCACCGACGGCCGGGGAGGCCCAAGTGGTGGCGGCGGCGGTGGCCACGCGGCCATTGACGACAGCGAGGCCACGTGCAACGGGGCGACGGCGTTTGAGTGCAGACAATTAGCCGCCGCTGTGGGCGGTTCCTCCTCGTCCACTGACCACTTCAAGCGGTCTCACTACAGCCGTCACCATTACCAACACCACCATCACCATCATCACCACCATCACCACCGGGACGGTAACCGTCTGGACCACCAATATGGGACGGCGACTAACGGCGGAGGTGGATGTGGTAACGGGGGTAACGGTGCATCCGACGACAGGGAACTCTGCTCGAAGACTCCTACCAACAGCGGTCTGATGTGGGAACACTCAACCACTACCACTACGACCACTGTGAACGTACATCAGATCTGAGCTTTGACAGTTTTCAAGTGTTTTTGACATTGTCATGGATACTTCACAAAACTTGTGTGTGATTTTTTTTTGTTTTTTATTAAACAAATATTATATCAAGTTACCAATTTAATGCTATGGAGGTGAAAAGGATGATGGTGAGAAAGAGGATGCCAGCTAGACGAGTATCATGGGACTTGGAAGGATAAAATATTTCATGTTAGACTCGAACAGACGGACGAACGGACATTATTATTACTGTCTGAAATCTATATATAAATTATGTTTCTCACAACGTTCAAAATTGAATTAGGAAAAAAAATTGGTCGGCTACTATAATAAATATCATATGATACATGATCGGTTGTGCTATCATCTCGATAGTCGATTACATGAAATATTGGCAACGGGTGATTCGATATAATATTTTACGTGGATAGGTATTTTTTTCTACCAACTTCGTGGTTCACTGAACGTCATCTATTTGATCGTGAAGCATTAAGATCATTATAAGCCAGCACCCTCGGGACGATCACTCGCCATTTCGGCTACATGAAAGACGGCGATTGGTATCTACATACATGATACCTACAATCAAAGTTAGGCAAGTAAACTCATTTTTTTTAACTTGTTAAATTGTGTTGATAGTGAAGAATTACATGTTTTAGTTCTTTTTAACTTGTAAAAATTGCAAGGTAAATAACAAATTAAGTAACTAAGGGAAATCATCAAATTAATTGTTTTTTAACTGGATATGTACAATTCACTCCAAAACGCAAAAAAGTAAATTTGATAAAATTATTCACATTAATTACTAAGTATTTTTTTTACGTACAAAACAATAATTCGTACGAAACAAAATATGCATTTTAAATATAATATTGAGTTAAATTATTTAAAAACAATATTTAATAAATGTGACTTTACAATCAATCAACTGATTAGTAACTGCATATCACGGAATACGTTTTTAATTTTTACTCCAGTCTAACCTAATACTTGCTAGTTACAAATAATTCAACTTTTACTTTTTAACTCGTTTATGTCCAGCCTCCCACATTATGCGTCATATTCAGGAAACGACGCGCATGCGAGTAATATATAATATGGTTTTACAATTTTAATAAATGCCCTTGATAGTATACAGAAAGTATGTAAAGGTATATGCGAGTGGAGATTCGTTGATTCAATATCGAACGTTTAAATGCAAGCAAATTATATTTCGTCTTCAGTACCTGTCAAATAAAATCAAATAGTAAAAAAATTAATCGTTCGGTTTTTTTTATCGTCACCGTTATTGTTGTTAGTAAGCGACACGTGTCGCTTTTTTGTAGTTTTATTTGTGTGCATTATAGTCAAATGTAAGATATACACATAATTCAAATAAATTGAATAATAATTATTTAATTATTTAATCGTTATAATAATATTTCCCCGTACTGACCGAAAGAATTTCTATGAAAAATGTAGTGTTTATATTATTTTATTGTCACGAGTACGCATTCTGATTACGTAACTTGTTTTGCTTACATCCCAAATGACCTCACTGTCTCCACAATAATATTGTACTTTACCGGGAAATCCGAATCTCGTGTTCGTATAAATTTAAAAACGAATACACTTTTTATTTTTTTCCGAGCAAAATTCAAAGACTTTCAGAAATTTGGAACCTTACGCGTGATTCTTACACAGAAACGCGGACGAACATCTGCTGCATACCTATACGTGGCGTATGTCAAAACGTCACTCGGATTTTAATCTCATTTCCCGCCCGCAATCTGACCCCAAAGCCAAAACGTACCAATGATACCTAACATTGGTATAATATAGGGCCTGAAGACCGAAGAAGTGGTGGTTTCGTCTTTTTATATCCAAACATAATAATTGAAATCCCCCCAAGCACGTCAGAGATCGCGAATTCATCTAATATTATCATGTACTATATATTATTATTATTATTATTATTATTATTAAGTTGTGTTTACGTGCATGTATATACCGATTCCCGTGTTTATATTCATATATATACTTTGTGTAACGTGTATGTATATAATATTATTTGTGTTCGTGTGTGTCATTGTACCTACGTTATATTGTATAACAATATTCGTGTGGGTGGTAATACTTCTTTTTCGGTACTATGTCATGGCGTTAAGGTTGAGAATATTATATCTTGGGTTTCATAAAAATCATTTTTAATTCGATATTTACTGTGAATACCTATAACACTTGTACGAAACACCTATATTGATGTTGTATTATAATATTATTAATACCGTATACGAAGTATGTTATGAAAAATGCGTGTTGTGCCCGTAGTAATACGAAATTTATAAAATATCGATAATATCATCCGAATCCATGTAAAATGTACTGTATAAATCATTTATTGTAAAAAAAAAACAGAACCGTATACCATCATCATTTTTCTGTAATTTTTTTTTACATAAAATCAAATATATATAAAATAAACATTTTTTTTTCAAATTACATACAAAAATATTATGTAAAATATACGTATTATATTGTACCTTATTCATAACATTAAAAAAAAATATATATAAATGTGTTTACAAACACTGTGTTTTTTATAATATTTATAACTAATTCAAATATATATATTAGTTTAAACCATATTATGTTAAAAAGTGAGTGGCCCAATTTATTTTGAGACAAAAGAAGAGAATTATCAGATAATGACGTATTAGAAACAAGATTGAAAGAAAGATATAGGATTAAAGTCATTGAAATTTAAATCTAAAACAAAGATGAGCCTGCAGATCACAATGTGGACTTCAAACGATCAATCTACAAATCATACTTTTATATCAGTACAAAACATATACATTTCCAATCCAACTGCATTGCGCCTAGACTCTAGACTCAAAAGGATTGTAAAAGTGAATGTGAACCTAATTTTTGGAATGAAAATTAAAACAAAACTCAGAAAGTCAAAGAATAACGTATTTAAGTCCAAATCCGATTTAAAGATATATATACCTATTATACCTTTCACAAAACAGTGAGTTTTACTTAATTAGCTACTTCTGAAATAGTAACAGCCAACAGGTATAACTCGTCAATTTTATTTTGACGATTATACCTACCGTAGCCAATTGTTTGTGCAATCATATGTGTCTCATATTTTATATTTTATTCTATATTGATGTTACTTCAAGTTTTCAAGGCTAGATATTTAAAAAAAAAATCTTATACTTTTGCAAAGTGTGATATACAAAATAAATAAATAAAGAGTAGTTTTGAATATTTTTTATGGAATTGTGTGTAGTATTCGGGTACGAATATAAGTTATGGTATACATAACGTTGGGTTGCTACAGTACCAGAAATAATAAATATGAATGATCAATATCCATCGAACGTTTGTAGATTTTAAAAATTATAATTGATTTAAGTTAATTTTTTGGAAGTTGTTATAGTACAACCTCAATGTTGAACGGCATAGTTCATAGAAGAACGAACCTGTTGTTTGTAAATTAAGATTTCTCTTTCTAGATAGGTTTTAGAATAAATAAGTTGCCTTTGTGGATTCTATAAGGATTAAGCTACATAAAAACAACAAAATCGATACATCTCCAACATATTTAGTATGGAAACCCTTGCATGACATAAATACAAGCTAAGTAGGGTTAAAATTATTTAATGACTTGTCATCTGGTAAAGTGAATTCTCTATAATTCTAATAAACTCCAAAGCCCCACGACAAATTTCAATATCCAATATTACTTTTTACATTCCTCATTTGCACATCTAATTATTTAGTGAATTAATCCATCACCAGATTAATGTATCTTGCCCATGTCAACACGTCCCTCCTATATTAATGATGTGCCTATTTAACGTATAGTGTATACATTATAAATTATATAAACTACGTAACTTGTAATCATATTTAATTTAGTAGTCTATATATATATATAGCTTTCCTCAAGGGCTAGCCCTTAAATATAAGCCGAATTAAATAAAATACATTCAATAAATACAACACTCACTATAATTCAAGATTGAAGTTCATCCAAAAATGTTCATTAAGTCTTTTTAAATTATATGTAGCTTGTAATTTATTTTTGGAGCATAAAATCAACTTAATTAAACCCGAAAATACACTAAACACATTCGTCTTTTATCTTCATTTTCACCGTCCCGTCACCATCACTGAAACAAACATACACATCCTCAAGCTACGACAATTAGGTAAGACTTATATTCTTATGTTATATTTTAAATTATGCTGTCAGTTGGCCACAGTAATAGATATTGTTGATGAATTTTTTTTTTAAATTTGTTATGCAAAATAGTTCGTAAACAAATATAATATTGTAACATGGTATACGACAAATCATACAAAAAAAAATATATATATTATATATATTTATAAAATGTTAGTGTTTGGATTTTTTTTATAGATTCAATAAAATAATATTTTATTCATCGTTTTTTATTCAAATTTACAACTAAAGGCAATGCATTTACCTTTGTAGACTCAACAAACATTCGATCTATTTCGAAGGTAATTCAGAGATATCAAAAAAGTTTAGAGGATAGTTTGAACCAAATTTTAAAAATAAACCAAGTGCTTTATCCAATACGTCACAGGTGGATTGCCCATCTTGGTCAAATTAGTTCCCAAAGCTAGGTTAACCGATAGCGATTTGACCGTAAGCTGAGGTACACTAAAACTGAGAAACATCCATTATGCAGCTCAGTATTTTATATTCGTTAATGTTTTACCCAGGTGAAGAATGGTGTTATTTATACCTAGTATATATTGTAAAATATAATCTATGTTCTTTGTTGATACTCCCAATATAGATTAAGTTTTTAGTTTTTCACATCTTTCTTTTCTAACAAAAATAACATACGACATCATTATAAGGAGCCAACTACTAATTGTCATCGAATCGTTGAAATCTAAAAAGAGATACAGTTTCAACATAATAAATTAGTGTATTGACATATAAACAAAAACATTGCAAACATTTGTAATACATATATGTTTGAACTATAACGCCTAAAATTTGAACAATACATTTTTTTCCAATTGTTAATTTCTAGGCCTAAATTGATTATATTTACCAGCTAGTTTTTTAAAATTTCTTTTTTTCCATCTCGATGATTTGTGGTATAATTAAATTTTATAAATTATGAAAAATGTTTCCTACACATAAGTAAGTCTAATTTTATACAATCGTATATTTATTATTGCATTAATTTTGAGTTTATAGTAGATTATATCTAAAAAAATGTATATATTTTCCATCATAAATATTATCCGCTCTACCTACATAATAATAAACGAATAAGTTAAGATTTAAGATAAGTAACTAGTTTTCAGATTGAAAGTTATCAATTGTTCTCACCTCTTTTGTTTTTTTATTAATATATAGTAAAATATTATAGATATATGAATATATATATGTTCAACTATCTCGACTACTGAAAAACAAGAACAGCTATGAAATCCCTTATGTCTAATTGGTGCTTAGTCGTTGTCTAACCATAAAATTAATCTGGGAAAATTCGTTGCTCATAAAATTTGTTCTGAAAAAAATTAAAGTATAATATTTCAATATTTTACTGTAACACTTAAAATTATTATAATTAGTCAAGTAAGTGTATAGCTCGGTTTTTAACACATAACCAATGTATTTGTTTACTTTCCAATATAAATTTGTATCAATGATTTCAACAATTGTTCACTGAGTATAACAGAGAACTATATACCTATTATAGTATGTTTTTGACCTGTAAGGGTCATAAAATACTGTCCACAGACTTATAATCGTACGGCATACCTACGACCGAACGTAAATAACTAAATGCACATTTATCATGCACCTTTCAGACATTTTCTATTTTGGAGGAATGAAAAAAAAAACACTCAACATTTCACGTGATTTCTTTTATTCGTATGAATTTCATTTTTATTCATAATTCGATATTTTCGTATACATTGTGTGACAATTTATTGTGAACGTGATTTATAACTATACGCAAAACTATTGACTGGATTTAAATATTTTCATATAATATTAAAATATGTATATTCTTTTTTAACATTTTTTAAATTATTACTTAATACCTCATGTGCTTATAATTACGAAATTTATAAGCTCAAATTTCTACCCACTTTTAGTGGACCTATTGTTTTAAAATATGAAACATGGGGACACTTGTGTACTAACAGAGAAGACATTAGCCAATGTTTAATAGTTTAGTATATATTATGAGAAAATAAACAAGACCAACTTCTAAAGAACATATAAATTATGTTTTTGGTCCCACGAAATTTGTTGTAACAGAAATTCCTTTAATTCATTTGAATATAATTTATCATCTCGTTACTCAACAAGAGCTTTTTGGAAACCTGAGGTATAAGTTTATAGTAAGTAGCTTCTGTAGACAGATTAGATGAAGCATTTTGGTCACAAATTCTTCAGAAAACAAATCGAATAAATCATCTGTATTGAACTGATATGTATAAGATTTTATGCGGTTGCTAGAAAGATTTGTTAGACTGATTTCTACTTATGAACCTTAAGGTGAGAATTATAAATACTTTCTGTGGTATATGTCACATAATACTTAGTTGATAAACTAGGATATATCGGATTTGATCTCGATTATATCGGAGAAAACAAATTATAAGAAAATAATTATACAACTCATACTTGTATTATTATTTTTGTTATTTGATTACAAAAATAACTAGTAAATATAGGAATTCTATAATGAAAATAAATAAATTCAAATTATTTCTTAAGTTGGCCAAAATATGACGACATTTCTTACAAGAATAAACAATAAAATATGAAAAATAAAAACTTTTCCAATTTTTCTAATGGCACGGGGAAAATATGTAGTATGTATTACTAATTTCAAAAAATGTATTTTATACAAACTCAAGTCAGTCACGTAGATATTAGAAAGTAAATTATTACATCAGTATGGTTTAAATTAATTTTAATTATTGAATAACATAATTGTATATAATATTAATATGAAATTATTATAAAATTATGATTTCGAGCACTAGCACATTTCTTGATCTTTATTCACTAGTTTTCTATTAGGTTCTATATTATTTTATATTATTTATAAATAATAAAGTATCGTTTTAAAATTCAAATCAGGGGATTTTGATTCAAAAA